GGTTGTACGGGGCTGATGGCATCCGACGTTGGGTTTGTGCTGGGACAGAAAGATCCAGGAGTTTGGGGACACACCTGGGTAGGAAATTTTGGGGCATTTCTGGCAGTTTTGGGAACTTTGTGTTGTGGAGCATGAAGGGGTGAGGTGGCAGTATCACAGTTGCAAAAGATCCTAGCTTTCTAGGGAGCAGCATGAGCCCAAAACGGAGTTGTCTGGCCTTATACTGTTTGCCTGGTGTTTATCAGATTCCCCCATCATCTCCTCAGCCATGGGGAATGACCCCAGGAAAAGGTTTAAACTCTGGAAGCAGCTCCTATGTTGTGATTTCTGAGTCCCCTGAAAATCCCATCAATCCCATCGATCCACATTTCCCAGCCCAGACTAAAACTGTAGCTGCTCCTTGTTTCATTTCTTTCCTGCTCCCTCTCGTCTGCTTGGAAACTAATTTGTTGTCGGATGCTTCCCTGCATGGGCCTCTTCAGCCCACCACAGACACACCAGCTCTTGCCATTTGCAGGTTCCCAGCTCAAAACCAGCAAAGATTTAAGAGCTAAAAAAACCCCTTGCAAACAATTTTTTCTTCCCACACAAACACCTCTGATATCCTGAAAGGTACCTGTTATTTCCTGCCGTGAGCGTAACTGTGTAACCGTAATCCTTCGGATTCGGTCGGCAGCTGAAGTCAGACCTCCTGCACAGTGCGTAAGAAACAAGGGATAAACACAGGGATATAGATTATGTCCCACATCTGAAAATCAACTTCACAGAAAATATGCACTAAATGATACATGATAACAGGGAAGGCAATGCCAGCTGCCTTAATGAACGATGGTAGGCAAAGCTGGAAAAATAAATTAGATAATAATCTCTTATTCTATTCCCTTTGTCATAAAGTAATCTTGACCCAGAACAATAGTGCTACTTTCCAAGAGAAAATAACTGAGATGCAGCTATAATCATGATACAGGAGTCCAACACAAAGTGGTTTGTATTTTCTCTTTGTTGTTAAAATTTTGCTTCATCTGGTAAATTTTGTGGAAGAGTCGGGAACAGGGTGAACAACTCCCAGCTGAGACAAACAGAAATGAAGAAGCTGTTGAACTTCAACCCAACGTACTGGCTTTCTGCTGAAGACCCCAGGAGCCCGTGCAGTGCTCTGGCAGAGCAGGAGGGTGCCTGGGTTTCACTTCAGCTCCCAGCTCACCAAACAGCCCAGAAGGCAGCCAGGCACTTACTTTTGGACTGGTGGACACCTTCCTCCATTCGCTAGGGATGACTCAAGGGTTAGGGCTGTATCTCTGCTCTGCTCTGCATGTATTATTGCTTTTGTTTGGTTTCTGAGAGGCTTGCTTGCTTTTCCATTGCTCAGCTCTGCAATGGGGATTAATTAAAAAAAAAAAAAGCTGAATGGAAATCCTTGGGAAACATCCTCATCTAGACAGAGCAGATGGATGAGGAAGATTCTCCCTCCTCCTTGCCAAGAGCTGCTGTACACCAGAGCACTACAAGAGTCATTCCTAGGTCCTCTCCTAGGCCAAGAGGATGTTAAGAACTGGTTCTACCAAGAGTGCAGTGAGACCCCACCTAAATGATAGTTACCGAAGGAGTCTGCACGTTTTGTGTGGTTGTCTACCTCTCCTACACCTCTGTCCATTCCCGTCTTATCCACCTGGTGCTATCAAAGACCCTTCACCAGGTGAGGACGCTGCAGGTTACATGTGCAAGCTCTGGATGCAACTGCCCTGTGCATGTCTGTGAGCGGGGCTCCGTTTGGCTCGTTCCTACAGAGAGGCGTCCCCAGAATGTGTTTATAACTTTGTGGGTTTGCTTGTGATTTGGCATCTTTTAAAGTCAAAAGACTACTCTGCACCCTATCAATCTTTCTATGACCTCTTAGTGAATAAGATATGGAAGCTTGAAACTGGGGCTGAAGGGAAGAAAAGTCGAATGTGCTCTCACAAGGTGTGTGGCAGAGGCATGGTCTTTATTTCTGTGTCTTTATTCATAAAAATGCAATGCATGCTTTACTATACACTATTGTACATAGTTTTTATACTGTCATAAATGAAATTAAAATATCAAACAGAGAAACCCAGAAAAAGCCAGAGTGGTTGAGATCAGTGGTTCAACCAGTATCCTGTCTCCATCACTGGCTGGTATCAGATGCTGGAGATAAAAGTGGAAGAAACTGTATAGTAGCCTGTTACGAATTAACATGCCCAGGAGAGAAGTTTCTTCCTGACCCTCATCAGTTAGTGGTTGACTTCTGTGCCAAAGCATACATTACTATACATGCTCACGTATTTATAGCTATCTATACCAAGAATCATGTGACAAAATGCTAAATCCGACTCCTGGTACTTTCGCTTACAGGAAAGTCACTCCGAGGAAAGAATTTTCTTCACCGCAAGAGGCTCACAGAGTACAGAACTGGGAGAGGGGAGGGCAGCTGCGATTCACAGCTTCATAAGGGAAACTGCTTTGACAAACAGCACCTGAAATATGCACCTTTTGGAGATATTTGGGGGATTTTGGTTACGTATCTCAGTAGTATCTCTCAGAGTAGCTTTACCTTGTAATTAGGCAAATACACATGTCTAAGTACTTGTAAAGTGACCAGTTAAGCAGATTTCAAGTTAGACATTCCCTTTTTCTGAAAATCATAAGATCACAGAAAAACAAGCTTGGGAAGCCCGAGGCAAGGTTGACCATTCTGATCACTCCCGACAGCCGCTTTCTCCAACAGGCTTCCAAGAGCCACCACCACAGAGATCACACCCCCCACAGGTCTGCCAGTGCTCTGCCTTCGTTATGGCAGTGTTTCCTAACTAACTTCAGTCTCTTTGGCTTCATCTTAAGCCCATGTTTTCCTGTCCTACCCACCAGATACAGGCAACAGATTATCCTTCTCTCTTGAATTGCAATTTTTGTGCTTGAGAACGGTTTCTTTGTTTCCTAACCCCTTCTTGGACTGAAAGACCGTAAGTTATTTCCCTACTTCCCCACTGACATGTTTTCTGCATCTCCAGATTCTCTTCAAATTGTTCCCTGTCTTTCCCAAAGTGCGGTGCCCAGCATCGAACAGGGTAACCCAGCTGAGATCTTCCAAAGACAGGGGAGTGTGGAAGGATTACTGCACATCGTTGAAGGGTATATTCTATTTTATACAATCTGGGTGGTGATTTTTCCAACACTACCTAAGTACTGAGACCCTGACACATCTTCCTACATTTCTCCCCATTTTTTTAGACTATTTCCCCAATGCCTGTCGGTGCTCACTTCAGGATACAATAAGATGTTTTCTGCTGCAGTTATAGATGGATGCTGCTGATGATTCAGCATATAAAATAGGCTAATTAATGAGCTTCGGAATAACCATCTCCTCCTAGGCTCATTAATATGCTTGGTTTTACCTAAAGGGATCACATATATCCAAAGACAAGTGCTAGCCAAAGAGAAATGCGAGACACATTAAAATAATGCAGCAATACTACTGTATGGAGTAAATTTCAGGAGAAAAGATTTGGCGTGCTATTCTTCTCCATTAAATGTGATGAGCTCATAAAAACTTCTACTTAGTCAGAATGATGTGAATGACTCGTCAGACCTAATTTTAGCAGCCTAAAGTTAGCCAGCATTTCCACAAGTCATCTCGTCTCCTTCAACAATATATGGAGAGGAATGAACATTTCCAGAATGAACACATCCTGTTGCCTTCAGCTCCCTAAAAAGCCAGAGTGAGATGGGATGAAGGCTTCTGTGAAGACAGAAGAAGAGTTCCAGTAAGCACAGAGAGCCTCGACCAGGTGAGGTAAATTCCATTTTAGGCAACCACAAATTCAGAGTTAGTTATTTTTAAGTTAGCATGCTAATTAAACACAAGGCAAATTAACTGTCATCATCAGGGAAAAAAAGCATGATGAGATGTTGCTTATTGAATAATTACGGAGATGTGCAGAGCATAGAACTTCCATGGCACAGACAACTTCAAAACATTGACACTTCCCTTTTCTCCAAATCGAGCTGACAGCTGACTACGTTGAGTTGCTCTGTGAAGGATCATTTTTACACAGTCATTTCCGATGAATAGAAATATTTCATTTTGACAAAATCACACTGGTCTCCAGATTGATCTTTGTCTTTTTAAAGAAGCATAATATACTAAAACCAACATTCTGAAATGAAAGACGTTTTGATTTATAATATTGCACAGCTCGCTCTAGAACCATGATCTTCTCTCTGAGGCTCAAGCTGGTTGTGCTAATTTTGATTTCAAACTTGAAGTCTCTTTTTGATTTCTGAACAGTGCAAATGAGCCACTTTGGCCAGCCCTCCTTGCCATCAGAGCAAGAAAATCTTCACACAGCCGCAAGCCAGCTGTGATACCTCAAGCTGCTGAGGGAGCAGCAGTTCTGGGAATGACTCAAGACTGGGAAAGGAGAAAAGCTCTCCAGGATCCCACTAGAACTCCCTCCACCAAAGAACAGCCCCATAGATTCACCAAAACCCGTGATGAGGGCTTTGTTTGAACTGCTAGAGAGGTGCAATTGTAATGAAAGCTCAATTGTTTTTTGTGATGGTGACTTTCAGAGCCTCCTAGAAGGACTGGGAACTGGCCTTCCAAATAAATTAGGCAGTTTTGAAAAACCTGACCTAGAGGGCACATGCCATGGTTTTGTTCCCTGCCTAGATCTTTATCTGTCTCTGGGTACGTCCAACGTTGGCTCCTGCAGGGTCATAAAGCTTACAATAAGTTTGCTCAGGTACAGTAGCTGTCTAGTCAACCCACATGTAAGTTGGCTTCTTGTGCCAATGCTAATCTGTTCCTGGTACCCATGCTAACCAGGATGAAGGTCCTTCTAGCAGCTCCGCAATAGATTACAACGTAGGCTGTCAGTGAGGTTTATAATATAAATACTTGTGCATATGAGTTCATTGTTTATATTCTAAAAGCTAAGCTGGGAGAATTTGTTGGAAGTGATTTTAATTGCAGGAAAAAGCTAGATCTGGGACTCTATTGATAGCGTGCTGAAGGTCACAGCTGCTTTCCGGTAAGAAATCTCTCCTGAAGGCTGATTGACGGTTGTCACTGGGTCTTCTGGATCTTCACAACTGGTGATGAGGGCAACTGCACTGAAAGACTTTTGGTTAGTACTGAATGACTTGATCTCCAGTGCTGATGTCTCTGCTGCTTTTTCCTGTGGCATTCCTGCTCCTTCCGATCCAGTTGCATGGCACTGCAGTGAGGAGCATAAACTTCTGTGGTTTCTTCAAACTGTAAGCAATCCACCTTATAGTATTTTTTCTTTACATGTAAGACATCGTTAAACCTATGGCCCCAAAGAATCTCTCTGGGGACATAGGAGCTTCTTGACTGATGTGAAGTTCCTGTTGAATCACCTGTGTAGACAAATGTGACCAGGATTTCAAAGTTGTCCTTGGCCAGAGCTTTCCGGTCCAGTCCATACAAGGGGCTCTCACTATCGATTTCATGTACGACTGTCACTGGTGTAACAAGTATGATCTGGTCATTTAGCAACTTCAAGTCTTTGTATTCCATCGTCATTCTCCCCTCCTTGTCTTCCTTGTAGCGCAGGAGCTGAGCTCGTACCGAGCCCTCAACCATGTGGTTTGGCCGGAAATCACCAATGCGCCACATGAGGCAAAATTTATCGTCCCTTAAGCCGACTACAGCATAGTAACTGAAACGAATCGTTTGAGCCCTTTTTCGAGCTGTGGCCATTTTAGCCAAAGCTGCTCCGATTATGAAGGTGTCAATAATGCAGCTTAATACTGACTGTAGGATGACCATGAGGATCGCAACAGAGCACTCTTCTGTTACACAGCGGTAACCGTAACCGATGGTCGTTTGGGTTTCAAGGGAGAATAGGAATGCTCCTGTGAAGCTATGGACATTTGCAACACAGGGGGTTATTTCTTCATCATTGAATAAATCCCCATGTTGGACTGCAATCAGCCAGAAGACTAGTCCAAAGAACAACCACGAAAGTACGTATGACAATGAGAATATCACAAACATGTGGCGCCACTTGATGTCCACCAGTGTGGTAAATATGTCCACTACGTAGCTCTCCCATTCCCCAAAGATGTGTTTGAAGTACACATTGCAGCTGCCATCCTTGTGGAGAAATCGCTTCTGTAATCTTTTCATCCCCATTTCAGGGCTTCCTTGACAAGTGCTTTGGTAACTGATCTTACTTCCCTGGATGTTTACAGGCCTGTAGGAACCACTCTGGTCAGTCACCTTTCTCATATCTGCCTCGTGGCATCAGTTTACAGAGCACACTTGCGGACCCATGGGCTATTTCTTTTCTTTGTTCATTGGAAATCTATGAAATAAAAGAAAAAGTTTATTTTTGTTTTAATTCCCTATGCCAGAACTGCGTAGCACCAAATCTAAATACCTGCACTCTATGGCCATCATCAGCAATTTTCTGACGAGCACAGACTCTGACATTCACTATACAACATGGCTCAAAACTTTAGGCCTGGAAATACGAAGCAGCTAGAAATTCAGTCAGTTACAAATGTCCACATCAATCTTAAAATTTGGTATGGAGATGAAAACAGAAATCAAAAACCTTTGTGGTGACCCCACTGTGAGCATCTCTTCTAATGTTCTGGTGAAGTAACATTCAACCAGGATGGGCTCTCATGAACAGTCACAGGAATGGAATGAACCCTCTTAAAGTTAGCCAGATATTTGAGGTAGTTAATTATTTGTTTGCTGCATGTTTGTTTGTTTTCCTCCATTAGAAGAAATGCCCATGAAAACACCCTCATTTGGACACACAACTTCAGTAGCATGGGCAGACAAGTTCAGTGCTAATGTGTTTTAACCAGAAAATATATCAACCACACAGTCATTCATCATTGTTCGTGTTTCAGTACTGCCCAGAAAAACCTGGTCAGGGAATTGAACTTTATTGGGCTAGTGCTACAGAGACATATTTGTTCAATTTGTAGAAAAGTATTTACATTGCAAATGAAAAAGAAACCTCTCTGAGGTCCTGCAAACCCTCAGAAATCTTTCCTTAAAACAAACAAACAAAAAAATCCAGCTGCCAAGAAGTATTTAAATTTTTATTAATGAGTTTGAAGCAAACATGAAGTATGTTAATAAAATTTGTGGCTGACACAAATTTCGGAAGTGATGTGAATTAGGAGATTCCTCTGTCAGATGACAGAAGAAAAAGGATGTCTTCGGAGATTGCAACCATATGAACTCCAGCAGTACGAAGTGCTAGGCTGTACATTTAGCGACTAATAACCAGAACTTATGTTAGAAACTGAGACCTCATCAACTGGAATCCCATAAAAAAAGGAAAGACTCAGCTGAAGTAACCAGTTACAGGATGCTTATGAATTACTTGTAGGATACAGCACTGAAAAAGGCAAATGCCTTTTCCTGCCGGTCTCCAGCTCATTCTACCGTATCCCAACCCCTAACACACAAAACATTGACAAGTCAGAGGTGATAGGTACACAGCTAGAACAATTCAAGATTTTTGCCAAATGTCATGCTTCTAACTGATATTCCTGAAGGAAAAAAAAAAAAAAAAAACAACTAATACTTTTGAGGGAAAACTGTCATGGTTCTTCCAAAAATTGTAAGTTTTCAATGGAAAAATGACAAGTACTTTTCCCTTTTTTAAGCTAGTTTCAGCTGACAAAAGTTCAGATGTAGGTTTACAATGAAGCCAACATATTCATGGAAAATGAATTTAAAAATAAGTTTCCTAGCGGTAGTCTTTTTCCTCAGCTCTTCATTCACTTTGCCAGAGTATAAATGACTGCACACACTTCGAGGCAGAAGAGAGTCAGGCCCATAGAGTGTAATATATATTGGATGGACTAGATTAACAGACCAAGAACTCTTCTCCCATCCAAGGAACAATGACAAGCATGCACAGACACTATTCCAAAAACACTTAAAAGCCAAACATAGTTTCCATTTCTTTTTTCTTTTCTTTCTTTTTTTTTTTTTTTTTCTTTGGTACAGAAATGAATGTGACATATGGTGTCGTAGCCTCAGAATGTGGCCTTCATTAAAAAACACAACATTAATGTTTCCAAAAATACTTCTTGGAATACAGTCTTTGGAAACATTCATATGACTTGCTTTACTCATAGCTTTAAACAAACAGCGTAACCTAGTCTATTGAAGGCTCTTGACCTAACATTTTATAAGTCATATTTAACAACAAACAAAAACTGGAAACCGTTGAGTTATTTTTTTAAGAAGCTCATAATGTGAGGTGTGAAAATGAAGCAAATTGTAATCAGAAGCCAATATAATCTTAAATAAAAAACATACTTCAGCTTATACTGTTTTTCTTATTGACTGATTCAAACTAGAGTTCCTTGAAAATGCTCGCAAACATCCTGGGACTCTTAAAAGGGACTAAACAGTTCATGAATCAAAGGCTACCGAGTTCATTCCACTCTCTGCTCTTGTCATCAGCAAATCATCGTATTTCATAAACGGTGTTTTGCTGGCACCAGCTTTAGATTTTGCTGGTGCTGGCAGGAATCACGGACTGTCACAAGTCCACTCTGATTTTACGGTAGTCTGTCACACACAGGAGCCAACTTTGGCCGTGAGGCATCTTGAATTAGGAACTCTGACTCTACTTAGGGTCTCTCCTATGTGCAAGTAGTGCTAATAAATATATGCCCATGGATGTCTGTGGTGGGTTCTTGATTGGTGTAAATGAAGCCATGTAGCAAGCTGCTAGATTGGATTTTGCGAAACAATCAAAAGTATGTCTGTAATAAGAAAGGGAAGGGGATGCAGAGCTTCCTAAACCAGAACCTCATAATCCAGCCCTGAAGCTGGATGGAGTAAAAAAGGATCAGTGCAGAGTAGCGCTAGCAGATATATATTGCTCTCAGGATCTGAGTTAATCTTTCTCCATCGTGTTGAAAATTGGATTGCTCAGAGCCATTTGGCATTGCACAGTGGAGACGTGCCCCAGATGACCTAAAATCCCAAATGTGCTTGAAAGTCTTTGGAAATAGCTTCTTCAGCCACTTAAAAACATCTAAAAATGTTGCCCAGTATTTTGGGTGTGCTTAAAGGTAAGCCAAATCTGAACTTTTCCAGGCTACCTCTTAAAGTCTCTCGAGTGCAATAATAATCATGCATCATAATTAATAACTCTTTTATATTGTCTGGTGTTGCTCAGGACGTTCAAGTCTAAAAAAACATCCTTCAATGTTTCTGAATTATGTAAGTCTGCGTTACGATCTGCACTTCATTCATGGGGACACTTTTAAGCAGGCACGTGATTTTCCTATTCCAAGGGAGAGGCGGTGAGGCTGTGAAGCCAGATGTTCATCGCTCACTCTGCTGAGACACGCTGCCTTTTGCAGAACAGTCTGAAGACTATTATTATCACCCAGTTTTAAAGGGGAGAAGACCACAGACTTACAACCAGACTTAGGAACTTAAATCTTAGAGCCATTTGAAAAATCGTATTTTTCAAAATGGAAAGATTTTACACATCCCTCAGCAAGCCATACGAATTACAGTAAAGGTCCTACTACCTGGTAAAGATTAACAAAGGGGGTGCGGAAGGATTTAAAAGCATTCTCTGCTCACTAAAGCTCACAGATCAGTTGCTGCAAATGATTCTCAGATGTTGCCAGGAAGTGTTTTCACCTTCCTCTAACACCAACACACAAGCCCTCGCCCTTTTTGGTCTCACTTTTACTTTCCATGAGGGTTTTTTTTCCTGTATTTCTGGGCATGTTTGTACACATCACGAGGTTCCCCTTGCATACTGTTCTGTTGTTCAGAGGAGAAAGTGTGATAAAATTTGCAGTATTTTGCCAACCATTCTTATAAATGTATTTCTCCCCCAAATAAAATCTTAGAGAGAAAAACGGAGCAGTGAAACCAGGCAGGATAGCAGGAAGAGAGAAAGAGAAAAATCTCAAAGGCTTCATGAGAGTAAGTGCCAGAGAGGGTTCATAAGTTATTCTAAAGCATCAGACTCAGAATTCAGAAAATCAGCATATATTCATGATTATCTAAGCCCAGGCTAGAATGTTACTGTGTTGGATACTGAAGCATGCTCAGGGAGATACAGAACTGTGCTGGAGACCTGCGTTCATGGGATCTGCATATTGACCCCTCAAACTGGTATCTTTGACAATTTCACCCCAGTTAGATACAGGAGGAAGGTAAGTAAATTCCATTATTTCAAAGCAGTACAGTGGCAGAAATAGGAACAAACCCAACACCTCCTTATACCCAGTGAAGAGCTACCACAAAGCGAACACTAGCAGAACCAAGCCTTTTTATCATATTTGTCTTTTTTATCTAGTTCCTCTTTAGCAGCAGTACTGAACTCTTGATTTTCATCAACTCACTCAGTACAACAGTAACTTGAAAGCCTTAAGCATCAAGTTTAGCCTTTTAAAGACTTCCACTAAATGTAATTGTCCATTTATTCTTGATATTTTGAGTTTAGGGCTCAGTGTCTTATGAGGATAATCCTTATATTGCACCTTAACCGAATACCTAAGGAGCTGTTGCTACACCCATTTTATGACTGTATTTTCCCATTATGTAAATAAGTGGGGGTGAATTTTTGTTCAGTGACAACTTCAGTCAACAACTTGTTTGTAAAACATTAAGCAAAACAACATGAAGATCTTTGTTCCAGAATAATTCTGTTCTGAGATTAAATCAAAAAGAAAACAACTCCAAACCTCCCGATGAAGTTGGGTACTCTCACTCCAGCCCCACACACGTGGAAGTGGATCTCTCCCTCCAGCGTTGGTTTAGCAATCACCTCTGTTTCCTGCTTCATTTTGGAAATGGCCTGAAAGGTTTCCAGTTGCAGTCATTGTTGTGTAACCCTGGAAGACGTTCAGCTCAGAGACCAGAAATGTGACAAGTAGAATGCTTTTGAGCTGCTTTGGAATTTACTCAAATACTCAAAATCCTTGAAAAAAAAATTTACTCACAAAATCTAAATAAATCTATTATAGGACAGCATTGAGACTCTTCCTTCTTTTTTTCCTTCTCTTCCTTCTCTTCCTTCCTTCCTTCCCTCCTCTCCTCTTCCTTGCAAAGGGACCCAACTTCTCCTAATACTCCCAGCCAGTCTCTGCTTCTGACACGCAGTCCCCAGAGCTTGGCACACACTACGATTCACCATTTCTGTATCTCACATCACGCACACCCCAGGACTGCCCCTGCGGGGTGTTTGCTAACA